TTATTTTAAAATAATATTTTTGTTAAATAAAAATATGGTTTTTTTGTTGGGGGGGGGGGGTCATCTGTCCATCCATCTATCCTTCCAATAAACATTTTTTTGGGGTACTTATCCTAGACACTGTACTACCAGTCAACATTTTTAAATGTTTAATGTGTGCTAATCACTTCACACATATTAACTCTTTTAATGTTCACAACTATTGAGGTAGGTATGTAAGTACTATTACCTCCCTTTTGCATATCTGAAAACTATCATCATCCCCATTTCAAAGATCTCAGGTGCAAATATATTAAGTCATTTGCCCAAAGGCGCACAATTTGTAAACAAGACTTAGTTAGTCCCTGCCCTCAAGGAACTTAAAATTTAGTGGCAAGGTAGACAATTAAACCACTAGTTAAAGTGCTAAGTGTTAACATAGTCTATTATAGAGCAAGGTTATTGAGGCAGCAGACAGAAGGGGAACTTGGGAGTTAAGAACCATCTCTCATAGGAACAGGCATTTAAAACTGTATAGGAGGTAGTTAGGGAAAGAATGTGGGGAAGAATATTCCAGCTTGAAGGAACAGAAAGTCCCAGCAGTACAAGAAAATGTACTTCCTCCAAAGTACAGAAAGGAATACAGGGTGACTGGAACAAAGACTGAATGGGGAAAGTTGAGGCAGAGTTCAGGTTGTGAAGGGACTAGTGTGCATGTTAAGAAGAATGTACTTGACTTGGAGAGTAATGGGAATCCTAAAAGGTTTTAAGTAGAGAAATAATATGATCAGAATTGTGTTTTTAGAAGATCTTTCTGGGCTGGCCAGTTAGCTCAGTTGGTGAGAGCGTGATGTTATAACACGCAGGTCAAGGGTTCAGATCCCAATATGGCCAGCTACCCCCCATGCCCGCAAAGACTAGCAACTTTATCAGCTGTGTATCCTGGAGCAAATAAGTTTATCTCTCTAAGCTTCATTTGCCTCATCTGTGACATGCAGATAATGCTACCTGCCTGGAAGGGTATGTATGGGGAGCCAGTGAGACAATGTGTATAACCCCTAAGGTATGTCTCATACAAAGCAGATTCTAAGAAAATTTTTATTCCTTTCCTTCTTCCCTTTTGGTGACTGACTACCTGTAGAGATACTACCTAAGAAGACATGTTTATTTAAATGCACAGGTCATCATTTAGGATTTTCCTTTATAGAGAATTCATAGATACCCGCAGTATCTCGTTATACACAGGATTCAAGGTTTTCTTCGCTATGAGTGTTTTCTTCTTGCCTATTTTGCCTTTGTCTGGTAACAAATAGGTCTTTACATATCTAAAAAAGAGAATTGAACAGACAAGAAGGTCAGAGAAGATTAGTGATGTTTCCACCTCTACTTTTAAAAATGTATTGAAAACTGACAGCAGAAATAATTATTTCAAGATACTGAGAAAAGCAGTAAGTAATAAATATTCCCACTAACACCTTTATCTTAAACTTTTATTTTTATTTATTTATTTTTTTAAAAAGATGACCGGTAAGGGGATCTTAACTCTTGACTTGGTGTTGTCAGCACCACGCTCAGCCAGTGAGCGAACCGGCCATCCCTATATGGGATCCGAACCCGGGGCCTTGGTGTTATCAGCACCACACTCTCCCAAGTGAGCCACGGGCCGGCCCTATCTTAAACTTTTAAAGGGAGTTTTGTGGAACTGATCATTTAATATTGTTTTGAAGATTTTTAAAGGAAATTCCCTGAGTTCCTTTCTCCTTTGGCCCTACCTAATTAATATGTGTGTGTGTTGGGGGTTGCAGTAGGGGGATGTAAAAGTTTAATATTGTTTTGAAGATTTTTAAAGGAAATTCCCTGAGTTCCTTTTTCCTTTGGCCCTACCTAATTAATATGTGTGTGTGTTGGGGGTTGCAGTAGGGGGATGTAAAAAAACAGACCTCTAACATAGTGCTTTATATTGATGATTTATTCAGAAAAGGCTTTGGTGCTTGGACTATTTTTTTTTAATGCTTTTGTTACTGTCTTCTGAAAAAATTAATAGTACACATCTAATCAAGCCATTTTCAATGTAAAAAAAAATAAAGGATATTGATCTCAGTTATTTTTATAAAAAGAATAAAAGAAAAAAGGATTGGGCTTGTCCAGAAAAATGAGAACCAGACTTCTGCATAGGGATAAGTGAGGAATCCATTCAACTTTTGCAAATAAACTGAATGTTGGGAAAATAGAATAATTTAATCAGGCCCCCTTGCCTTGAGTCCAGTTGGGGGTGGTGTGGCACATTCTTTGTAAACAAGTTGTGTGTGGATAGAGTTAGTGTGCATGCACGGTGCCTCAACATGGCTGGTGTTGACTGCCTCAGGCGGCCACCGTGCACAACCACGCTCTTGAACCTACAGCTCCAAGGACCTTTTGGCTGATTATCTAGCTCATAGACCTATGTGTGAGGAGTCTGGGGACCCAGCCTGGCATGTGAAGGGTTTGTGACCCAGTCTGGACAACAGGCTAGAGAGGTCTGTGAGCTCTAGACCCAGCTCTAGCTCGACAATTGGCCCAGTTGGCAGGATTACGAGCAGATAAAAGAGTGCTACACTGAAATTTCAGCAAACCTGTGATTTAAAAGATGAATTAGTAATGCCCCCTAAAGTTCTTCCATAAGATATAATTTAAATATGGAAACTACCTCATTCTAGAACCTCAACTATGTTTACATCATTGAACATTATGAGGTGTACTCCACATGTTCCTAATTTTAAAAAAAGTTTGAGAATGTGGTGGAAAGATACTGGGGTTCAAGCCCTCACTGCTCTTTTGCTGCTATCTGAATTTATGTATATGGGTTACTTATCTTCTCTGGCTCTTGTTTCCTTATCTATAAATTGAAGGAAGTGGACAAGATGACCTCAAAGGTCCATTCCAAGTTGAAGCATTTGTTCTTCTCTATGATTTTTATAACTTAGTTAAGTTTGGCATATGAATTTATAAAGTAAATAAAACAGCATTTGCCTCCAACTTTTCGAACATTCCTTTTAACATAGTCACATAGATACCCTCTCTTTGATTACTCGCTTTCCTTCGCAGTTCCTACAGTTGGAGAACTAAGAGAAAGTAGGTGACTCCAAAATGTACTTACGGGTCTGAACGCTGTTTTTTAACATCTGCTGCTGCTAAGTCCTTACACTGGGCCACAAAAACATGCAACTCCTTCAGTGATTCCACATAATCAATTGCAAACTGAATATTTCCTTTAACTTCCAGATTGCCGGAGTCTCCACTATAAACACTCATCACACTGCCACTCACCTGAAAGCATCAGAAACACACAGTATTTGTCTCTATCTCATTCTTGAACCCAGCACAAGGATCATGGATATAATCCTTGCCTGGCATTATTTCTCTAGCTTGCATATAAAAGCAGTTGATATAATACAGCATAAAGACAGATCAACACAGACAACATGACATGATATACATGACTAGTGTTTTTTTTTTTTTAAAAAAGCCCCCTAAAAGACATAGATGAAAAGTCAACTGCAAGATGCTGGCTTATTTCAAAACAGGGTGATTTTAAGCTAGGCGGCATTCAAAGTTCCACTTTTAGGCATGCTTAGTATTTAAAATGCTAAAGAAAAAGGATATGAGAAACCCCAGGCACAGAAATCAAAATGACACATTGCTCTATCAGATTTCCAAGGCACTAAAAAGGAATTTTACCATGTTACTCATCTGCTGAATCTAGGAAAGTGCTTACTGAGCCATGCCCTTTTAGAGGTCAGGAAGGGTAGAAAATGGATGATTGATGAAGGAGATTTAAAGCTTTCCCAAGGGTATGCATTAGATTATTATCAGCAGAAACTCAATTTAAATAGATTCTAAAAAAGGTTTCAGAAATGCAAGGCTTATAGAAATTTAAGCACAGCCTTATCATTTGTTTGGCATACCTGATGAGACATATGTTTGTGTATGTACATTAGAGAAATATTTGGGTAAGTGTACGTGGATATATTTACATATATATATCCACAAACATACTACATGCACACACAACTGCCTCACTTTATGCAGGAAGTTCTACATAAAGTCAAATTCTCTTAAATCAAATCTGAGCAGCTACACTTGGGGAGCTTTCTTTTTAAAACCCTGTTCTGAATCCTTCTGTGAGACAAAGAATCACTTCTCCTATTCTTTTATGTGAATCAGTATATTTATTCATCAGGTTTACTAAAAGAGAGGTACAATTCTATGCTTGCAAACAGTATATAAATCATACCTGATATTCTGATGTAAGCAGATTTTATAATAGTTACCCTGTTTGTTGCACGGAAAAAGTTAGTGGTTCATATTGCTGACAATTCAGATTTATTTCTGAAGTACTTACATCCAAAAAAAAAGTACACAAACATTTATTTATAATGGATATGAACCTTTTATCTTTAAAAAAAAAAAAAAAAAAAAAAAAAAAAAAAAAAAAAAAAAAAAAAAAAGAAAGGAAGATTTAGCTAACCAGAAGCTAATTATGTATTAGAGAAAATGCTTGTGCCCTTGAAGTCTGAGAACTACAACAGGAGGCCGTTTTACAATGAGCAGGAGCATGGCAGAAGGAGATTCAGAGAAGCAGAGAGATATTAACACGGAGCCTTTGTTTACATACAGAAGACAAGGACGTCATGCCAGAGGAGCTGCTAAGATTGGTTAAAGAGCTCGGGCTCTTCTTATGTCTGCTGAGCTGGTAACTGCTTTCTGATGTTGTATCTGTTTCTCTGTCATCACTCTACAAAACATCATATAATATGCACAGGATTTAAATTCAGAATGAGTAAAGGTCAGAATCTCTGTTTAGGCAAAGATGATATCTTGGTATTCCACTGACTTATGACATTTCCCAAGGTCACTGGATGCTAATGCTAATTGCCAGGGAATGGGATTAAGGATGGAGTGGGTGGTCTGCACTGGACCTCACCTAGGTAGGAGGGCAGTGCTTAGCTACTGAAATAACAAAGTAATTTTTTCAGCTACAAGGTGGCCCCAAGGTGCTACAGAAGACAGCACGATTGTGAGCTTTCTTGTTACTCTTTTAATATTATATATTTATGTTGCCTGGAGAATTTAATTGACATATACATGAGAAATTAACTTTACCCAGACGTTAAAAAGTCTAAGATCTGTCAAAACATAAAATGTCATGCTTAATTTCTTTCATTATGAACATAACCTTAACTTCCCTAAAATCAAATCTTGTACTTAAGACACTATTAAAACTAGGGAAAAAAAAATACTATTCTGATGTTTCAACTAAAGATTATATGCATTTTTTTTAAATTTAAACAATCCCTTATGTATTTCTATACTGCTATTGTGCTTATCCTTTTCTTGCTATAGGGAAGTATATTAAATTATACATTTTATTCACATTAGATTTTAACATATTTCTAAAAAAAAAAAAATAGCTATAAGATACTTATTTTGAATATGCTCCAGGAAATATTTACCTGGGGCAAGAAAGAAAAGTGGCAATAACAAATTTTACTATATTTAGATCTAAAGTTTTTTGAATAGTAGCTTAAAAAATTCATGATCCAGAATGGTCTCCCTTTTGGGGTTAGGTAGCTTATGGAGCAGATCAGTGGCTCCTGAGGTTAGGGGAACACCCGGAGGAGTAGTTAGTTCATGCCAACATATTCTAGGACCATGCAATTATGCATCAGTATAATGTATGCCAATTCTAATGCAGATTAATAAAGGCGTTAAAGAAAAACAAAATTAGTAACTTGCATGGATGAGAAAAAATACTTTCTCAAGGATTAAAGAAAAATCCATACTTTTTAAATGTCTGTTGTCATTCTCTCTCCCCACATGCTTACAGTCCATTTCCCTCTATTGAAATACATACTATGTGTTCTACCTAGTATATCAGATCAAAATGGGGGCTCCTATTCTTGTTGACCTGGAACAGTGTTTTTCACATAGTTGGCACTCAACAGATACGACTGATGCTAAGTCTCAAATGGACAGTGGACAAAGGAGGAAGGCCTGATTTCATCTCTACTTCCTTTCATATCCAGTTTGACTCTACATATACCATGTGAAATGATACAGCTTAATTGTGGCATCTCTAATACACAAACTCAAATGATTTGAATTCTGCAGTGCAGAATTATGAGACAGCAGGTTAAAACCGAAGGGAGGAGAAATTAAAAACCAGGAACTGATATTGTTTCTCAAATTATTACATCATTCATTCATATGAACACCCAAGACCAAAGCAGATTTATAAAGGTATAAAAACACAGAAACTTCATGGGGTGCCTACCATTGGCACCCACCTAATGATTTAGTTCCAAAGAAGGAATGATCTTTGCCATTCCAGGATCAACACCACCACCTCTACTGACTTGGAAGGCAAGGATCAATCCTGCTGACCTCTTTAGTCTCTGCTGCAGTGGAATACAAACTCACAAACCTTGGCATAGCAAATCCACCTATCGGGCTCCATTTTTATCATTCCAGGATCAACACCACCACCTCTACTGACTTGGAAGGCAAGGATCAATCCTGCTGACCTCTTTAGTCTCTGCCGCAGTGGAATACAAACTCACAAACCTTGGCATAGCAAATCCACCTATCGGGCTCCATTTTTATCAAGGTACAAAAGACAAACTTGCCTCATCTTGGAGAAATGCTGGAACAGACTTGCTCATCCTTTTGAGTTTGTCGGGGTGGGAAAACTGATTATCAGGTTGTGAAGGCACTGTGGAAACTAAACAGCAGCATTTCCATTGCAAAGTTATTCTTAGAATTGTCAAACAACATTAGGCATAAGTTGAAAACACACTTTTCTCTCCTCTATGAACAGATACATTTTTGTAAAAAGGTCAAAGGCACAGTAGTTCACATGCACAGGATCATGAGGTAAGTAACATGCAGTTTTTATACATTATATAGAGAAAGAACTAGCAAGGAGTTGAACCAAATAAAGAATAAAAATTAATTTTAAAAATACTAGTTTTTACTGAAATGGAACTAGACTTGAATTATATTAAAGAATACTGTCAATGTCAATTGGTTTTAACTTATTGGTTGACATCAGAGCTTTGAACCATGAGGTGTATAATTTATTGGTTCATCTCCTCAAGATACATATATTACAAACATGCTGCAGGCTGAAAAACTATTTCATCTGGACAGTAAGGATCTTTGCACACAACTTGATAATAAAAGTATCCTGGCTACTGAGGGTCTAAGAACAGGTTTGTCTACTTAATGATCATGGGGATTACTTTTCTGATAGTGTTTATCACTCAAAATTATGAAAGAGTATAATTAAAAATTTACTATTTTTTGAAAATAGAAATTATTTAGAAACCTGTTGACTCAGAGAATTTTCAATATCCCAAGGCCAATTTTGAATGGTTCAAGTTAGGATAATCTAAGAATTTAATATAATTAATTCTTATGAAATCATATTTAATAACATATGCCTTATTATCTTATTAAATATGCCTTTTTTCTGATATAGTAAAGATATGTGTAGAAGGCACAATTACAGGATAAATTCTAATCCTAATTTTCATATCTCAATTTTGAAAATTATTTTCTTCTTTAAGTATCACAATGTCTTAGCTTTTCTTATGGTGAACCTCAGCTCTTACAATGAATGAGTTAATATTTTTCAAGGCACTTAGAACACTGCCAGGCACATAGTAGGCTCTATATAAGTATTTTCTAAACAAATACATATTATCTGATAGAGAATCTTTATAGTGTGAAAATGATACAAACATATTGGATTGGCTTTATCATTAAAAGAGATATTAGGAAAATAAAATGTCAAATTATATTTGTATATATAACTTGAAAGACTCAAATTCAATCCTAACCATTAGCTAAATTCATCTTTAGTTAAAAGAAACCTAACAAAGGAAAAGTGAAAATTGAGGTACAAATACTAAATATACGCTTGTTCACATAGCAGTTCTCATCAGCCTTAGGCTCACAAAAGTTCATTGTACATCAAAATAGATTTATGGTGTCTCACTAGAATACCTACTCTAATCACTTCTCATTAAACAATTGTGTGTGTGAGTGCATGCGTGTGTGTATGTATTGTGTATTGGGGTGTGTTATATTGGTAGCAGTGTAAGACTAGGTCCCATAGTATTGCCCAATGAGAATGCAAAAATCTTTTTGTTATAACATTGCTACCTATTATTTTGAAAGTAGATTTGTTGGATGATGGTATGTGGGTCAAATTCCATTTACCCACTACTCAAATGTAGTGAATTTTACATTTTTGGCTTTAGTTATTTATGTTTTGATCCTGTATTTGATTTTGTCTTGTGGTAATAATATACTCTTTACTAGTGAAAGGGCACGAAGAGTTTTTTTGAAAATATCACTAAAAATGGAAAAATTAAATTACTCAGAGATCAGTAAATGATTAGCCTTTTTGCCTTGACCAATACTAAGCCAATTAAGAGATCATGGATGAAGATAAAGATACATAAGCATATATGTCTATGTATGTTTTGCTTTCACTCCTCAGGTTAAATGTTGAACAAAACACAGCAAGATAAAATAAGATGCCCCAACTTAAGTATATACCAGCTCAAAAGCAACTGAAAAAGTCTCTTTACCCAGCACCGCTTAAGGACAGAAGTCTTGTTTCCTCTGCAGCAGCCAGACAGAGAGCACATACTCACAAGGGCCAGAGCCTGGACTGTCTTCTTTCCTAGGCAGTTCTTAAGAATTTGTCAAGTCATGTGCCAAAGCTCAGCACCTTCACTGCTGTCAGGAGAACCTCATGAGCAAAGTTTCATATTTCACACTAGATGTTACTGACTTCTAGCATCAGCACATTGTTTCTCTATCTCATGGCTCCTTTATTTAGCTTCCTTCCTCATTAAGGCCTATTAGCACATCCAAAGACAGCTGGAAAATTATTATTAAAAATATTGTGGACTCCTCAACCAGCCAGCTGCTCCCCCAGGAAAAAAAAAGGAAAAATATTGTGGACCCGAGGGCAGGCATATGTATTATCATTTTCCTGTCTTCTGTGCCCAGGTTGATAAAACTGACTGAAACTGGGCAGCTAAGTCAAACATACACATCTGCATACTTTGCTAGCCCCATAGCACACTTTTAATGGATTATTTGTCCTTAAGACAGTAGTCATAGCTAAGTAGAGTTATCTTAAGATTTAATAGAAAAGAGTAAACGAACATTATCTTTGCTTGGTGGTCGACGTTAATTAGTCACCACAAGTACACATTTATTTTTTAGATCCAGATGTTCACTTGCTTTATACATTGAATACATACTATTTGAGTCCAGTTTTAAACCTCAGAGTTTAAACTCTGGACGTAATAAAATTTGCATTTATAGTTATCTATAGAGGCACATACAACCATTCTACATACTGTCAAAATACAGTTCTTTCTTAGATCCAAATAAGTTATAAATTGCTTCACGTCTACAATCGTCTAGAAGGCACAAGAGATCCTATTCTTAAGACTATACTGCAACTTAAAAGCCAAATGAAATTAGAAGGTGCCAATTTGATTTTAAGCAGACTCAAAGAGCAGAGAGACTGACAAAAGTACAATAACACTCAGCAATAACATGTATATATATTAAAATATATAACTCTCAGTGGAACCACAAATTATTCTTTCAACACAAACAGTAGTCAAATATTTTTAATAAAACCCTTAACAGAATGAAATAGTTTTGCAAGCTGCAGGAGTTTAGTACCCATAATAAGTGCTGCATTATTAATGGGGTTAGTTATTTCAGTATATTTAACGCCACATAGCGTGGAACATTTAGGCATTTGTAAAAAAAGATCCTACTACTCACTTCCTGGTATGCATTCATTTGTATCTGGTTCCTGATCTGCTTTTTGATCTACTCAGAAGAGCAACATTGAGAATAAATACCATTTTACCAGAAGGATTAAAGAAACATGAAAGTAAAGCTCAAATGTCAGTTTCACAACTGAGACTGCACAATACACCTAACAGGTTTTCTGCTTGCTTTCACCCATTCCCCAGTATAACTCTTCATTAGCCTCTTTGAGGTCAGCCAAAAATCTAAGATCCAGCATAGGAGATATGTAGCATCTTTTCTTTAATTCACTAAAACACAGTATGAAAAATGAAAAGGATCCCTGGAGTAGGAGTAATGAAGCTGAGATTCTATTCCTGCCCTCCAGCTAACAGACTAAGAAAAGCTCAGAGAAATTAGGTGACTTTTCTATCTGCAAAATGAAGATAAAAATCCCTGCCACAGTATGAAAAATGAAAAGGATCCCTGGAGTAGGAGTAATGAAGCTGAGATTCTATTCCTGCCCTCCAGCTAACAGACTAGCTACCGGATCTTAAGAAAAGCTCAGAGAAATTAGGTGACTTTTCTATCTGCAAAATGAAGATAAAAATCCCTGTCGCACCTACTTCAATGAGATTGTTGTACATACAAAATGAGAAAGACAAAAACTATTACATAAAAGTAAGGCATGACCTTAGAGGAGCTCTATTGCTGCATTTTACATGGGAAAGCTCAGAGAGTATACCTTTTTATGATTACAATAAAGGCAATTTAGCAAAAAATTTAACAAATATAAATTTGCATAAATTCTGAACTATAAAAATCAGACTCATTTCCATCCCTCCTCCCACCAAGGCACTATTACCCTGTTCATTTTATAACAGAACCAAGTAATACCTAATCCATTGTCAAGCTTCAAGATTTTCTGGCTCCTTAACATTCAGAATCAATTAATTTCACCCTCAGTCTATATTTAGTTATTTATATAGGCAGAGGCAGGATTCCCCCCACCCTTGTTCTGGGACCCTTTCCTTTGAACTTAAGGCTTTATCACACGTGCCCAGAGAGATCTAAATGCTGAGACTTGAGATTCAAACACAGGAGTAACTTATCCCAGGAACCCACTTCACTCTCTCTGCCTTCACAAGGAGTTCTGCAAGTCAGAGTCGCAAAAATCAGCTCATACCCACAGAAATACAATTTCCTATTTATAGAAACCCTTGCTTCCCAAGGGTCTCTGATGAGATCCTCACAACAGTATCACCAGCAGAAGCCTTAAGAATACAAACAGTATTAAATGCACCAAGTAAGAACCATTTTATGATAACATAGGCACTATTCACCACATAGTGGTAAATGACGTTCTTCTATTTATCCAACAGCTGCGTCCCAGTGACTGCCCAAATCACCCCAGAACTTAACACACAGACAGACATGCAAATACATAAAGATATTTACCATCTTCAGCACTACGTACTAATTCTTCTGGCAGATTATTTACTTTTGCTTGATCTGTTCAGGAGAAATTAACAAATGGTTAACATGGCTGACCCTTGGAGAGAAAAGAACAATGAGATTGTCCCTGGAAGCCCCCGGAGTTGGAAGCAATTAGTCAAGATGCAGTGAGAGGTGCAACCAAGATGTCTTCCCCCAAATACTTTCTCTTTAGATTAGCTACTTGAGCCAGTGCCACAGCCGGAGCTCCCATTTCAGTCCCGATGCAGCTCACATCAGCACACTGCTGCACACTGACTCCCAAGGGTTAGAGGGTTAGCTCAGAGCAAGCGATCGCCTGGCAGCAGGAGAAAGCACGGGGCTGCAACAGCCTCTCTATTCTTCTGAAAAGGGTAAGATGCTAGCCATGACTAACACCTTCCCAAACCCATGGTCATTAACAAATATTTGTGTGTGTGCATCATCGTTTGCATATGCCTCTGGGAGGCTTGCTTGGGAAGTCAACTGAAGAGATCTAACTGGGGACCAGCTGCTAAGTGGAATCTTGGCAGGCTACTGTGAGAGTGGGTATCGGTATTTGGAAGGGAGCGTGCAGGAATACCCGTCAGCTGATGGTGATTTTTTTTTTAACCCTATACATTCCTGAGTAGTTTAAGGCTGCACCATGGAAATAGCCTCATGCTTTACAGGCAAGAGGTTTGCTAAACCGGACAATTGTTGTCGAGTGTTTTTTTCCCTCAGGGCCCAACCCCAACATAAGGAAGAACAATCAGTGCTGTCCAACAAAAGACTGGACTCGCCTTCTCTGAAAGCATTCAGGCGGATGTGGGGCTGGCCACCTGTTGAAAAGGCTTTAGAGGGAATTTCTGCATTGAGGGGAGGTTGAAATGGGTGACCTTCAAGGTCCCTTCCAATCCTCAGACTCCAAGATCCTTGAGAGGGTTAGGACTAGGACTGCATTCCAAATCAGAAATACTGTCTTTAGAGCTCTGGGAATTCCTGAATTTTAGGAATTGGTTGATAAAGTGGCTTTCTTTTTTCTTTTCCTTTTTAACCTCTGACTTTTTAGTATCAAATTGAGATGCATAAAAAATATCCTAAACATGACAATGGTCAATTATCAATTATATGAGTTTGGCAGGGGTTAACTTTCACTTAATTTTTCTCATGCAAGGGGATGCATCTTAGCTTAAAAACAGTAAAAACAAAACCCCGAGAAGTCATGGTTTCTAAGTCCGTTTGTCTGACCCAAAGTCTCAATATACATTGTTTTCTGTTAGTACTCAAGAAATTCTTCACCAATTAAAGAAGCAATCAGTGAGGAATGGTGCCCCTAAAGTGTTGCAGGTAAGGTAGCCTTTGGGCTTATAGTTCCAGTATCCAAAAGAAATGTGTGAACAGAAAAGAAGAGATAAAAAAGAAAGGAATGTCCTTGAAGCCAGGGACTAATTAAACTCCATCATATCATGTGAAATTCATCAGACAGCCAACCGCCTCATACATAACATGTCCATTTCATTAACGCTCTTGACAGTAGTCTTTTAATTTTGAGTCCAAGGTCTGCTATGTGCAAGTTATTTTACCTCTCTGAGCCTCATTTTCCTCATCTGTAAAATGGGGATAACAATTCATCTCTCACAGGGTTGTTTGTGCTGGCTAAATGAGATAAGACATGTAAAGCTCGTAACCAAGTTTTGGCATATGATACTCAATAAATGTTAGCTATTGCTACTAGTTCCACTGGTACTACTTGTTACCACAATCTGTTAAAACTCATTGTACTTGAGTAAACACTCAAACTAGGATTCTTTGATTTAGAGAAACTTAGTGTTCTAGTAACCAAACCTCGTGCTTAATTTTAAAAGCAAAGTTCCAGCCACTTTAGGGCAAGCCTCTTCAGCGCACTTGGGAAAGATTATTCTCATCTGTTAACCCCCATTTGGGGTTTCAGTGCACAACAGCAGGCAGTGAGGCCACAGAAGAGCACATAAGCATTTTAAAGCTTAGACAGGACATAAACAGTGGGGCAAACTTTATTCTCACTTGATGAATCTGATGAAATGTCTTCTAGACTTTTGGAAGGCATTTGCCTAGCAGCACTCCTTTCCAAAGTTTTCAAAACAGGACTGAGTTCTTCTGAACCTGTCATAAGACAAAACCGATGAATGCTGCACAATACACACACACACAAAAAAACCCCTCTTAATAACCAATGGATATCGAAATGTAGGTTGAAAAGAGACATTTATGCCATAAGCCTCCTTACTTTTACACTAAGAAGCACTTCACAGAAGAAAATAAAATTTCCCCACTATTAATATACCCTTTAAAAAATAGTTTTTCTGATCAAGAAATATTTGCAAACATAAACTATATAGAAACAAGACTAACACATTAATAGAAATATGATCTCTTAGTTGTTTACACCTCTATTTTAGGCACATGATTTCTTCTATGCCAAATGTCAAATCTTCCTACTTAACATTCTTGCTTTTGAAAACAGCCACAAAATTATTTTAGGAGCATTAAAAAAATTAGCTGAAAACTATGGAAGACAGAATTCAGATGTTTAACATCTGTGTATAATTGAGTACAAAGACGGGTAGGTTCTCCAGATTAATGGATGTTGGCTTTCTGGGGTTCATGATCTAGTAAAATTTCCAACAAAATGTTGGGAAATAACATAGGGTAGTTAACTTTTTATTTTACTAAGGTATTTTAAAGTGTGTGTGTGTATGAGGGCGGGGGGGGGGGCGCCAGAAATCCTATCATTTACCAATGCCTTTATTTTATAAAAGGAAAGGCATTTTAGAACCAAAAGCGGGGTGGGGAGAACAAGGCCATAATCTCAGATTAAGGACAATCCTTATATTAAATACATCTAAATTTACAAAAAAAATTCTCTAAATAATTTTTCTGTTTTGACAGTAAAAACTCCATCATGGATAATCCCTGGTCTGAGTATTGACATTTATCACTGTTGTATGCTCAGAGCCTGGAACAGTGGCTGGCAATAGGCACTTCAAAAATATTTGCTGAATTAGTAATGAATGAGTCAATTAATAAATCAACGAATTTAAGAATCACTTCTCTAGACAATAATTTCCTGAAATTCATTCCAGCTCTGGCCCAATGTTAATAGGCATTCCACAGCAAACGGATTATAAAATGAATTGAATTTGGGATGTTGTTTGTTCAAATTTAAAAGGTTTCTTAATGCAGACCTTCTCAGGGACTTTAATATGCTAATAATGTGCACAGTCTCCCAGCATTTCCAAAACTGGAATCTTTTTTCCCCCCAAAGGAGCATATTGAGGTATTGGTTGGTTAAGTGTTCAGCCACAAGCCAAACATGTCAGATTGCTCACCAAAATTGTGTTACCCTTTTAGTTAGGCTCCTCCCCAACTTTCACCCCACCTCTACCACAGTTTGTTTTAAAATAATAATTTGGGTTAGCAAATATAAAACCATGATTGCAACATTTTATACTTCTTATTTGGCTTATAATGTTAAAATATCTTCTCTGGGCTCTGTCTAAGTGATTATTTAATATTATTTCTTTTTTAGAGAGACTTTTGCCATTCAATCAGTTATGCAGGTATACTATAAGGGCAGCTATACACATTAGGTGATAGTCTCTAAGCACAAATTTTCAAGCCCTCCTCCTCCTATGGATCAATTTAGCCTAGTAACTCACAAGGCAGTTTAGTAAGAGTCTACCTCAACACAAGTTTAATTTGTTGGCTTTATTCTTGTATATGTCTGGTTTCAAAAACTGGTATTTCATTTTCCTTTTTTCTACCAGCAACATTTATTAAAGGGGCTTGAACTTTAATTAGAATTAAAGGTGGATTCTCTGGTCAGTGTTCAAGAAGAGACCCTACAGCTACTTACTGAAGAACCTAAGCCTCACAAGTCAGCCATTCAGTAAAGACTGAAGGGAGCTAGAAAATGATAATTATTAAACTACAAAGAAGGTGATCAACATCAATTGTGCAGCTTTGGTTAAAATGTCCCACCAAGAGAGCATCCTCTATCATTGCATCATTCTAATCAGGTAACTTCTCAATCCTATTTGCTCCGGGATTTCTCTGCTAAAATGCCTAAGTGTTGATCAGAATAGCGAACTGAGACAAGCCCTGTGTTGCACAGCCTGGCTGACAGCAGTACCCACAAGTCCACTTAGATAAATGCAGTGATTGATTAAGATCTTCGTCAACTTAGCCAAGGCTGGAGCCAAAGAAATGCAGCAGGCCAGGTGATGCCCTTAAGTGGAATTGGGCGAAGTCATCTGGCCAGAGTCATACTCTAGAAGGGGAAGATTGTGCAAATAACTGGAAATGAGAGGGACAAAATGGCAAAAAAAACACCAAAGCACAAGTTATCTGAGGGAAGGAAAGCTCCAGCCTTGCACTGTGTCCCTGGTATTTAGCTACCACTGTGGTACAATATAGCTCCTAAATGGGAAATCTGTGCCCATGTGTAGCACCTTCTTGCCACAAATCTTACAAGAGACTTCTATGAACATTGCCAATTGAGAAATAAATTTTCATTATTTCCAGGAGGAAAATTGGCTTAAGTATTTTAAAGGTGCTTCCTAAACCCAAAAAGTTATTTTGAAAATATTCTTGAAACCTAACAATTCTATAGGTACATTAATGAGAATTAAGATCAGACTCTGAAACAGAGCCTTGAAGTAAAGCTGTTTCTATGTAACTCATTTGTTTAAAGAATATGAATGAAATGGTTTTATGAAGAAAGGCTCAGGAAAACTGAAGTGATAAGAATTTGTCATTATTTGGGAATATCAAATTAATCCCAATTTAAAAAAAAATCATCCTTTATATCAGCATTCCATAAAGCAGACTCATTATGGGTTAAAAATTTCAAAATGCTCACTGGAGGTATTTCTCCAGCTTTCTGCATTAGAACTGGTATTTCCATCTGAAATATCAGAGTCAGAGAAACCTTCTTTTTCTTCCTCTTTCACTTGTTTTTTATATGGTGATGCCAGAATCAATTCAACTTTACTTATTTTTGTAGGGTTTTCTTTGTTTGTCAGCAGAGGAATGGGTTGCCTATTTCTGGACACACTAATTGCTTCAGAAGTCTCTTCAAAACCAGGTTCCTGAAAACCCCCTTGTGCCCCTGCAACCTCACTTTCACTGTCCCTGTCTTCTGGGGGTTTTATAGTTGTAGCGGTCCCTATTTTATGGTTCACATGAAGTTGTGGGGTTCCAGGGATCTCAAATCCACTTTCAGAATTACAAAGATCAACTGATAAATCAGTCACAGCTTTGTCTCCTCCCAATACTTTATCACACTGGTTAACTTTAAATTCCAAACCATTATTTTTAACCTTCATTTCAGAGGCCTCTGAGGCTGCCCAGTCAAAATGGGGCACTGTCCCCAAGAACCTGGCCTGCTCTGACTGTGACACAGGCTCCTTCTCAGGAGTTTCTTCCTTCACTGACACCTGGAGCTGATGAGGAGGAGCTTCAAATGTTTCTTTAAGGAGTTTCTTAAAACCAGTATCAAAAGCACTCTCAGTTTTTGATGGAGCTTCGGCCTTTTCTACTGTTTCTTTTATTTCCTCAAGATGAAATTCAGAAGCAGCTTGCCTGGGCTCCTCATTACTACCTATTAACTTTGATGGAGGAAGAGTCCCTACGTCACTTTCATGTTCTGAAGGGGAAGTTTCAGTTGTTTCCTTCAGTAGTTTTTCTAAGCCAGCACTGAATGCAAGGAACTCTGATTTGGGTTGAATAATTGTTCTCACAATTTCTGCCACTTGCTGAGGTAGCGCTTTGCCCTGCTGAGCAACAGTATGGACAGATGAGCTAAGGGTCTGTTCTGATGGAGACATCTGGGCAGTTAAATGAGATCCAACTTCATGAGTTTTATCAAGAACCACATTGAAGGAATAAAAATCCTTTCTGTCTGGAACTATGGTGTCCATTGTAGCCCAGGGTGAGATCACTCCCAGAGGATTTGCGGGGCTACCTGCTGCCTGAACTCCTTCAGGAAATTCTGCTTTCACCTGTCCAGGACCTTCTTCCCTCCCAGCTGGATAACTCAACCAAGCTTCTCTACACAGTTTCTGTAATGCAGCATTTACATCATTCAGTGCAGGTTTGGGTGGACAACTGACTTTCTCTACAGTCTCTGAAATTTCCCTTTGAGAAAGCACCACCCTATCCTGGACAGCCAGATGAGCATCCTGGGAAAAAGGCATATCTTGGGGAGAATTGCTCACATTCCCAAAAGAACCCTTTCTGTGAAGATGGGAAGACTGATCCAGTGGGTGAGAACCTTCTGCAGCCATCTGAAGCAAGTTCTCTGTACTGAGCTGGTACTCACCACTTTCAGCTTTCTGGGTGAGAGCTGTATTTCCCGAAGTTTCATCCCCCTCTGGAAAAGGAGCTATTGGCTCTTTGTGATAGGCTGAGGCATTGTGACTTTGTTCTATCTCTTTTTCAAAAAATCTACCATCTTCAGGCTCAGAGTTGGTTCTAGTGGAAACGGGTTCCAACTTGCTGTGCAAGGGAGAGGGTGAAGTTCCAGTTGCTTCCTTCAGGAGTTTGTCTAAACGAGCAGTCAAAGTGTTCTGGTTGACTTTTGGAGGAGCTACTATTTTGTCCACATGCTCATTAGTTATCTCCTTAGGTCCTTTGATTTCTTCCTCAGTATCAATAAAATCTACCTTTTGAGGCCATTTCCTATTTTCAGAAACTCCTGGTTCAATCACTCTTTTCCCATGAACTTTTCCACTAAAAAATTGGATTGCTGGTGATGGAGCTTCTGAAAGCAGCTTCTGTAAGCTGTCATTAAAAGTGTCTCTGTAGTCATTAGACAAAACACTTGTTTTCACTATAAATTCTTGAATCTCTTGGTCTGAGTAATCCTTTTCTTCCGTGAACACTGGAGTAACAAACCATTCCATATTCTTTTCCACATCTTCCTTTGATGATTCATTTCCTGGCAACTGATGAGCTGACTTCCCGGGTGGTCTCAATGAGAATGTGGTTTCATCTGGTAGCACCTGAAATATGCACTTTGAATTTAATTTCTCCATTTCCTCTCTTGCCATAACTTTTTTTTGGCTTAGAAGTGCCTCTCCTTCATGAGGTTTTTTGGATGATTTAATGTCACTGAATTCCTTGTATTTCTGGCTATTAAAAGGCACAGAATTTTTCTGGCTTGTTGTGGTAGTATTCTTCTCATCATTATACTTACTGTTTGAATTAGCTCCTAAGTCCCAAAATGTTCTCACCTTCTCAAACTGAGAGTGACTGTAGACCTGTTCTGTATTGGGTTCATCCATTCTTTCCTTGAGGGACATAACTTTAAAGTTGGCATTTGATTCACCAATTAGAGATCTGTCTTTCTCCCCAGGAGTATGTATTTCATTCCCAACATTTGAGGGATGTTGCAGTGCTGGTAAAGTAATGTCTCTTCTAGAATGCAAATTGTCTGCCACTGGCAATCTTTTTATAGGCTCATTTATCTTATTTTGAAATACTTTAACTGATTGGTCAGCGGAACGATAGTTTTTGGATAGACCTAATATTTGGGGACTGGTCTCTGTAGGTCTATTTGAGGAATAAAAACTGGAGAGATGGGGTGCTTGATCATCCTCATCTAGGACCACTAGTTTGGCAGTGACTAGATTATATTCCCTCTGGCCTGTAGGTAAACCATCCCTGAACACACTCTGTGACTTCACTGGCTGATATACTTTAGCAGAAATTTGTTCCCAGCTGCATGAAGGTGTGAGTTCTTTATGAGTTAACTTAGCAGCAACTTTCTCTCCTTCCCAAAAGGATATTCTGTCACGCACTCTTTTGTATTTCTCTCTTTGCACTTGGTTCTTGGGAACCTCACCAGCTTCTTGTAGTTGGACCTCAGGTTTCTTCCAAGGAGACCCACAGTTGGCAGCCCCAGGTGGTGACTGAATATTCTCTGGCTCTAAGGAAGCTTTCAAGATGTAAGTATTTCCTCCTTTGCTCTTTCTGTCTGTTTTCATGTCATCTTTCAAACTTTGTTCTTTGATGATTATTGAAGAGTCAAAATTTACTTCTGAGTTTCTTCTATTTTTTTCATGAACACGAAGCTTCAGTTCTTCTTCACCCAAACTGCCAGTATTCCTAGTGTCACATGGCATTTGGTCTTCTGAATCAGATCCTTTGAGAACACTGTAGGAACAGTGACTAGTTGGGGGAAGTTCCCCATTTCTTTCTCTTATGCTTTTTGAACCTTGTCTGTAGTCCATATTTTCACTCCCTTGACTTGGGCTACCATAGCTTTCAAATGGTTGCAATATACCTGGGCTTTCTTTTGGGGTGTCTTGTTGGAACAAATTCATAGATTTGGATTTGATATTCACATCATTATCTTGGAAATTTCTAGAAAGCAGCATATCTCCTTCTACCTGGAACGTTGAATCAGATCTCACAGGCTTCAGTTCAACTTTGGTAGATGATAGGGCCTTTGAGCCATTTTCTTTTAGACTGGTGTCATCTGTCACCAAGGCAATAGCAACCTGTGATTTTGAGTCTGTTTTTTCTTTGGGCTCTATTCCTCGGGGATGTGGGAGGAATGAGTTACCGTCGTCTGAATGAGAACTTCGGTTAAACCAGTCTAGGACTTTAGATATGGAATCATCAGTTGTCTTCCTTATCTCAGTGGCATATGGACCAGAGCGTGAGGATATCTCAGCTTTTAGAGCAGTGAGAGGAGGGGGCTTACCTTGCTGATGGTCTCTAGAACTTCGATCTGGCACCTGAGACAGCTCAGGCTCAAGACAATGAGACAGTTCATCTGCAACATAGAAATGCTTTTCTAAATAAGAAAAAAGAATGCTTAAAGAATTATTATTCAATTGTTCACATTATCTTTTTTAAAAGGCACTTTGTATTTGCTTTTCTGTACCTTTACACCAGAATTTTTCAGGAGTTATAATGTAAGGCGTCCTAATTAAGGTATTCTACCAAAGGTGCCCTATGACTGTAAAGGAAAGTAAATGTACATCCCTGGAAGTACATGGAGTAGACCTAATTGGGAAATTTCTTTGAAATTTCTGGTTCATTTAACAAATTCATGTGAATTTTGCATTCTGCTCCATGTTATATTTTAAATATTAGTTTTCTCCTACTCACAAATCTTTGCATAAAACTGACACTACAGGAAGATCCACCATGCTGATTTGGGGACTTCACCCATCCCCTGGCACACTGTCATAAACCCTAGAGGAGGTTTATATTCAAGTTTGAGAAGCACGGACTTAAGTGATTTCAGGAGTTAGAAAAACAACTTTCAAGTAAGACTAAAGAAGGAATTTCCTTCAGAACATTTGAATGGGACAACGAGCATGTTTGCATTCCTGGACCTTACTTCTGATACACTGAACTAGAATTTCTGAAGATGGGACCAGGGAATCTTTCCTAACATCTACCCTAGCGATCGTTTTGTACACTGGAGCTTGAGAACCATGATCTCAACATACCCCTCCATTATGCTCCATATCCTTTCTACCATTTGTAAGTTAGAAGTTATTTCTGTGAGCCAAATAAAATGAGGATTGTTGGAGAATGTAACCTCTACCTGTTCCCTGATGTTTGCTAACCAGTGGCTAGGAGGCTAGAGAAGGATGTTTAAGTTCTTTCTAAGCTGTCCAGAAAGCACAGACAGTCTTCTCTGTGTCTTAATCACAGGGAGCAGAGTACATTTGGATGAGGGAACGCAGGCATTTAGTTAAGACCCTTTAGTTGAGGCTCAGATGTTTTAGCATTTTTCCTTTTCCTTAAACTGCTAAGCTATGCGATACATGTACAAGTATGTTTCTAAAAACTGTCTGAGCTGAAATTTTAAGTCAGCTACATTTCAAATGAACTGGATGACATGTCAGTTAATAAAATTCTATCTCTAATTTTAATTATCAACTCTAAATGTGAAAACAACAAAGGTTTTCTACAATAATTGGCACATAGTGGACATTGGCTTTCTTCCTCAAGTACAGTTGTACTATTAACTATATGCCAATAACTGTGAAGTTCCTTTGAGAAATCTTTAAGAATTCTGTGTTAGTCTTTACAAACTATTTAATGATGATGAAAAAAAGTCTGTGATGTACTGTTAGTGAAAGAAGAAGTCTGGGCAGTATAAACACAATTTACAAATTACATTCATGCCTTGTGAAGTTCCTTTGAGAAATCTTTAAGAATTCTGTGTTAGTCTTTACAAACTATTTAATGATGATGAAAAAAAGTCTGTGATATACTGTTAGTGAAAGAAGAAGTCTGGGCAGTATAAACACAATTTACAAATTACATTCATGCCTAAAAATTATTAGAAGGTTCTACAACTAAACATTAGCAATAGTTAATGGTGAGTGATGACATCACGGATGAGATATTCTTTATTCTGTGTGTTTTTCTTCCTAAATGTTTTACAGTGAAAGTTACTACTTTTAAAATAAGAAGAGTTATTTTAAATATTCAATGCCAGGTAATGTTTTGTTTCCTCTGAGGAATTCTTTCATTTTGTTTTCTCCAGTGTGATCAGTGAGTGTGGTGGTGACTGTCCTGAAGCTCAGAGCTAAAGTCAAACCCTTCGTGGTTCTGAGGGCTTTAAAAGAAGAGTCTGTCTTTCTCTCTCTCTCTTGCTCTCTCTGCTTTCACCATCTTGCAATGTGAGACCCCTGGGTGGTGACATACCCAGTTTCTAATATTTTGTCATAAGCAACAGAAACTGATTAATACACTACCACAGAGTAACATTTGTCTAGGTCTTTTAACTGTTCCTCAGGGGGCTCAATCAGATCTGTTCCCCCTCCATTCCTGCGAGATGGCTTGGGGCCGATGGGGACCAACCTCAGGGGAGCCCACAGCTGTCCCAGGGGCAGGACTGAGATTGGAGGTGCTCAGTTTCCCTGGGTTTGGGTTTCAGGGCATATCTCTGGGTTTCAAGCCACTCCCCCGTAATAACTTCGTATAGCATACATTATACGAAGTTATACGAGATGCAGAATTATTGAAAATGGGAGAGAATACACAGCATGATTTTTCCCATTGTTTCTCGGTTTTCTGGGGGGTTTTTTTGGCAGCTGGTCAGTTCAGGGATCTGAATGTGATCTTGGTGTTATAAGGCTGTGCTTAGCATGATTTTTCCCATTGTTTCTCGGTTTTCTGGGGGTTTTTTTTGGCAGCTGGTCAGTTCAGGGATCTGAATGTGATCTTGGTGTTATAAGGCTGTGCTCTAACCAACTGAGCTAACTGGCCAGCCCTTGTTTCTGTTTTTTAAAAACATAAAAATTCGGAAGTAATATAGGTTTGAGAAAGTAGTTGGGAGGCATCCCCTGGGAGTTGTAAGACCTTCAAGAGAGGGCTAGAAAGCAGGAGAATCAATACCCTCAGTGCCTCTCAACTCACACCAGCTGAAGCAGAAAGTTCCTTCAGAGCTTTTAAAGTCTAAGAACAAACGGCTGAAGGCCCTGGGCAGGTCAAAGTCTGAGGCTTTTTCACAGCAAGTACTCAAAAGTCTAGTTTCCCATCCTTCAAGGCTAAGAAAGTGAAGATTCTCTTGAGATCACAAGACAAACCAAAATTTGGTGAAGTGATAATTGATAAACATGCATTAGGTGAGTAATAGTATATTTACTCTATATAAAGCATTTCTTTAATTTTATACACACACATACACCTTGATTTAACTCAAAACATTGTCATTTGTTTAGTTAAATGACTGATAGTTACTTTTTTTTAGGGTAAATCATAATGGGCCAGAAACTGTGCTGTCCTGGTTCTTTTAGTCATTGGTGGTTGAAGGAAACCTCGAAACCCATTAAGAGGTATGTTTCCCCAGTGGCATCTGTCTGAATTCTGGCTGGAATGCCACAGAGACAAAATCAGGCTTCTACAGGGTTGGATGGCCTAGCCATTCCAAGCCCATTGGGTCTGTTTTTATAACCTGATAGTGACAACTCTCTTACCAGCAGGGCTTTTAGACAATTCTGATTCAAGTCTTTTTAATTCTGATAATTTAGCTTTGTGTTCATTGATGGTGGGTAAATTCTCAGTGGACTGTGGTCTTGCAGTTAAAACTTCTGAGTGAGAATGGAGTCCATCAGTTGGAAAAGAACCAGAAGTCACTGGCTGATGTATTTCATTTTCTGATACACTTGGGCTTGAGGCTGATTGAGGAAAAGGCAAAGGCTTTCTATATTGGGAAGGCTTAGGGTCATTCCGAAACTCATCTATGTCCCCTGCATCTTCCGTTGCATTCTTCAACCTGTCAGATTCTAAAACATTAAATTCTCCCACTTCCCGACCATGAATTAGCCCAGGACTCTGTGGAAGTTCATCCTTTACTGCAGAGAATCTCACATGCTTTAGTGGCTCCAGTGAGTTCAGAGGAGAGTCACCTTCCAAATGCTCCTTCTCAGAAATTCTCTCATGAATAGTTAGGCCAGGTGACACAATTTTGCTTTTTGGTTCAAAGCTGTGATTCAAACGAAAAGTTTCTGAGTCTGTGCTACTGGAACTGGAGTTGCGCTTGAGGATCCCTCTCGGAGCCCCTTTTGCATTGAGGGGGTATGTCCTTTGTCTAGGAAAAGATTGATTAACATCTTGCTTTAAATCATTTGATTTGTAGATCATTTTCCTGGCTTTGGGGATTGGAGCCTTGATTTGGGACCCATTCACAGGGCCTGGCAAAGTCTGCTTTGCTTTCTCTAACTTCTGGCTTGAAACATCTGGGACAGATGGCTTTTCTTTTGACTCAGACAATTCACCTGAAAATTAAAACACATTAGGTGATATACTAAATGGAAAGTAACTCTACAATTTAAAATATGCATCATAAACTTAACCTATATTTAGTAAAAGTATTAAAATATTAAAGACAGTAAAGTAGGTAGCATTAAGTGCAGACCTAATGCGAAAGCCTTTAAAAATTCATGCATCAGAACACAGAATATTTCTAGGACAGTGAAATTACTCTGAATGGATAAAAAAATGTGGCATATATACACAATGGAATACTACTTCAGTCATGAAAAAGAATGAAATCCTGTCATTTGTGGCAACGTGGATGAGTCTAGAAGACATTATGTGAAGTGAAATAAGTCAGCACAGAAAGATAAATACTGCATCTTCTCACTCACATGTGGGAGCTAAAAGAAAAAAAAAATGAACTTTTACAAGTAGTGAGTAGAACTGTGGTTACTAGAGGCTGGGAAGGGGAGAAGGGGAAGGTTGGTTAAGGAACACAAAATTACAGCTAGATAGGAAAAATATGTTCTATTGGTGTACAGTAGTCCCAGGCATCTATAATTAACAATAATTTATAGTATGTTCTCAAATGACTAGAATAGAGGAACTCAAATGTTCTCATCACTAAGAAACAATAAATTTTTGCAATGATGAATTTGCTAACTACCCTGATTTGATCACTACACATTGTACACATGTACTGTTTTGTTTTTGTTTTTGTATTTTTGGCAGGTGGCCGGTGCAGGGTTCCGAACCCTTGACCTTGGTGTTATCAGAACCACACCCTAATCGACTGAGCTAACCAGTCAACCCCTCTATACATGTATTGAAATATAACTCCGTACCCCATAAATATGTACACCAATACATTTTAATTAAAAAAATTTTTTTAAATACTAAAATATGTGAAGTACAAAATGAAGCATAGTTCAATATAACAGAATGCTTTAGAATAATTTAAAGACAATAAATAACTTGACCTTTAAAAAAAGAGTTAAGAACAACATGTTCTAGTGATTTTTTTTTTCCTTCAAAATATTTTATGGAATAAAAGTACGCCCAGTGAAAAATATACTAATATTAGTAGGCTAATTGAAAACCCTAGTTCTACTGTTCAATTGTTAATTTTTTTACCCCTTGACCAATCTTTAAAGCTTATGCAATCTTCTTACAGCTGCTTATGAAGAGACTGAATTGTCTAGTATTTCCTCCAAACAATAGGTACAAACAGTAAAATTCCATAAGAGGCACCCTTAAATTAATTAAGCCACAAACCTGATCAAACGCTCCTGGGCAATGGGGCTGATGATTACAGATTAGGGGATCATAACATTGTCAAGTGGACTTCTTCCTGAGGCAACCTCTTTTAATTTTAAAGAGAGAACCATGTCAGCACATGATAGGCATCCAATAAATACTATTAAGTGAAAGACTCAATGCCTCTGGTCAAAAATGTCCTAGTTCACTGACAAGGGAACCCAAGGCATGGCAGTCACATAAGAAGTGGCAGCTCCAAGACTGGAACGCATAAACTTCCAGTTTCTAAAATTTCTGCATCTTCTCCCTCATGGAGGAAACCAATGGGAATAATGGAACAAGAAAACCATCAGGACTTTTCACTTTCTCTTGGAAGTTACTTTAGTGAAAGGAACTCTGAGAATTTCCCTTAGTCCACAGATAACATAGATAAAAATATCTAAGTCCATAAAAATAATATTTACCCTCTTTTGAAGTCTGAAATAAGCCAGCTCTTCCATTTTTTGACTGTTCATTTTTTGTATGTTGCAATAAATGATCTTCTGGCAACTTGGAGCTATTAAATGGATTTTTCCTTTGCTGGGGAAAAATATTGTTTATTAAACTTATTTTAAATGTCATAACAGCAACTCAGTGTTAGCAAATACTTATTATGTCCAATATTTGATAGTTTTATCCAGTAAACTCTATCATCTGGCATGTTTAAAAAATGGTTATACTGATTAATGTGGTTAGCACAAGATTACCATACATGCCATACAAAAAAGTTGTACAAAAGATATTCAATGCCAGAGTCCTACAAGTTAGATTAGAAAAATGCATTCAAATTTTCAACTAAAAAATAAATTAATTCCTTAAAAAAAGAAAAAAGAAAGAAATGGGCATTCAAATAAAAATCCCACATTTTACAGATGAGAAAATTTGGCCCTGGGAATATGAAAGACCTGGTAAAGGTCAAGGCAAAGCTGGGTTTCTAACCAGGTCAAGATTTCCATCAGTACTCTTTCTATCACATCAGACTCTCATTGTGCTAGTTTACAGCTATACAAAATATAAATGTAATTGATCTTTCCTAAGGACTCAGAAGATACAGTCATTGTTACGATCATCAATTCTAATGATAGAAAATCAGTAAATAGAGATTTTTTTTTTATTAATGTAAGAGTGAATATCAATGTTCACAGTCTAAAGTTTCACAAATTGGCAATTCCCTCCCAGAAGCTGACCTCTAACAGAGATTCTGGAAGCTATGAGTAGGAATAAGGACTGACGTGGAACTAACGAGCCACATTCCATATGCTTAAAAGAAACAGCACCAAATAGCTTCAGACCTCTCTAGAACAAGAATTCTGGGTCTTCAGCAATGTGGTAACATGGTAGTCATCAATTTTTCCCACAACAAGAGTGACTTCTTACACTAAATAGTAGAAAATGATCTATATCAGCTACCAAAAAAAGTCCTATAAAATTATCTTTATCTCATGGTGCTTTGATAAAATTTTAAAAATAGCATTCCCACCAAAAATGAGATTTTTGAAGTCTGGGCTCAATCTACCTTAGCGAGAAACACAGGTGATTTCCGTGTATTTTCCTGGGACATATCAATCACAGTGGAAGCTGGATTTACCACAATGGAACTGCAAAAGAAATAATAATTCAGGGAATAAAACCTTACCCTTTGAGGAAGCATAAATCAAGCCTGTGAAGCCAAAAGCTATCAAGGCAGGATAGGAGAGGAAGTATGTAGAACCAAACAGCCAGGAAGGGAGAGGGAGTTAGTTGGGACTAGAGATGACTAAGCAGTGAAGAAAAGGCAAAGGCAGACAGGAATGAAAGACAAGCAGGAGACAGCACAGTACCAGGCACACAGGAGGTCCATAATTTAAATTTGTAGAAATAAATTTGTCTCAGTCAGAAGCTAATATCAGATGCAGACTGGAATGTAAGCAATTGATTTCACTGCTGAAATAAAGCCCCAAAGAGACTCGGGGCTTGATTCCAAAAGGCAGGACCACAACGGCAGTGCTTACTCTAACTTACTCTAAGTCAGGTAGGAAATAACTGAAGAAAAGGCTCTGGTGAGACAAGTGACTTGGCAAAGGGAGAGAAAAAACAGCAGATCAGAGAGATGATGTGCAGGAAGGCTGGTGCATTTAGGCACCTTACTGGGACTTTTAACCCAACTATCCAGGCTGTTCAGGTGAGTTTTCATTCAAATACAGAGAGATAAAGACAATTAGAGTGTCAAGAAATGGTGAGAGGGTAGATGCCTGGAGCTGCCTTAGAGGAGTGAAGTGGATTCTCTAGACAATGATTCCCCATCCCAGGGAAAGGATGACCCATGGTGAGATTAAGGCAAGAGTGAATGGAGAAGTGAGTTGAGAACAACCACTCCCTTAGCTGAGTAAGAAAGGCAAAGAGAGTCAAAAAGGCCCTGGAGGGGGAGAAAACAACCTGCTCAGACTTCCTGCCCCAGTGGCCTTGCCTCAGGCATAAGAGGTGATGTCACTATTGGCTGAAACTGCTGTTAAACACTACCAGTTCTCATAGTGGCATCACAGAATCAAGAGCTTTGGAAAATACCTGGGAGACTACAGGCTTTCCCTCCTGCAGCAAAGGAACCACAGGCCTGGGGAGGGGAGTAATTTGCCCCAAGGTCATAGAATCTTGCCCAAGATTACTGCCACGAAAGTCATGAGCTAAATGGTCCTGAAGCTTCATTTCCTTTCCTTACCTCTGTGCTTCAACTGCTATTTTTGTATAGAGTTAGTCCCAGGAGAAGGCTGAACTCTTGAGGAAGCCATTCTTCCTTCATTACCCTCCTCATTTTGCATTCCAGAAAGAAATTACAGCAAGTGAGGCAGATGTATATAAAATACAGCCTGATCATGTGATGGCAAGAAAGGGAGAAGGGAGAGGAAGGGCAGGGAGCAGAGTAGAAACTTACAATGGAGCCAGAATTAAAGCTAATAGAGAGACACATTACAGGAGTTCTCTGTTCCTACAATTGGCAGTCGCAAACTTGAATCTAGTTATCTAGAAGCCAAAGTGAAAAAAGAAACTTGCTCACTGATAGAATTCAGTGTCCATACAATAAAAACAACCAATAGCTCAAAACTAGAAAGTAATTTCTCCTGAGTGTCATTTTAAGAAGCCAGTGGGTGATATGAGCAGATGTTATGTTCAATTTCTCCTATTTTGTATCATCTCCTTTAGTAAATAAAACGGTCACACAATCATAGAACCTGAGCCAAGTGCTGATGGCTGGGGGTCTCCAACACCCCTCTTCTGCTATTTTCCTTTCCCCTTCCCTCTCACCAAGCCCAAGGGATAAGCAAAGCCTCTACATTCCTCTCCCTCTGCTCCCTGGAAATCCAGTTCCTGTGCCTCCAGGCCCCCGACTCCAACATCCCATATGGCACATCATATTGTCCCTCCTTCCTAGACATGAAACTGTTAAATCAAACTAAAAATTTTGGCCTGAGAAAGCCTCCGTATGCATGAATGGCAACCTAACTCGGCACATAAGCACATGGGCAAATTGAAAACCTAACTTAGAAGTGTGCTTCTGTGACTACAGCTGAATCTCAGCCAACTGCAGGCAGTCAACTGTTCTGTACCATCACTTCCCCTTTCTGGTCTATAAATCTAACTGACCACGTGTTTCGGCCATAGTCCCTCTTCATCTGTTCTGGCTAGAGGCTGCCCAGTTCGTGAATCATTTCTAAATTTTTTTTTCTCTTCTTGCTCAAATTAAACTTGTTAAATTTAGATTGCCTAAAGTTTTTCTTTTAACAAAACCAATTTGTCCCTTACTGGCACTATCCAGCTATGTATTTCATATCTACTATGAAACCTCAATCTTATATATCTACATACCATATTATTGTTACATATCATAGATGAGACACATATTATGTTATTTCTTAGCATAGATAAGATACACATCTTATCTCTCATAGTAAACTGGAAGATCACTCAAGAGCATCTTGACCATCTGCATAGCCCCCTGCAGGGCCTTGCACAGTGCCTGCTACATGACTGGTGAATAACTAAATAAATGACGGCCAAATGAGCTGTGCCAGGGAAGACAGCAGAAGACAGGTGGCCGGGTTATTTTTTGTTTTTTAAATGCATGTTGCTTGCCAAACTACAATGAGGCAAATTATTTAGGAATTAAACAAAATGTCTTTGTCCCTGCTAGTCAGAAAGCAAAAAAGAGGAAGAAACAAAGCAGTCAGAATACATGGTCAGACACTAAAATACCAGAAACATGCAGTGTTCACTGAGCTACCTTGTGGTTCAGATAGGGGGAAAATGGGATGAAGATGGGATACTTTAGTTAGCTACAGTTCACAGTCTGCTTAATTAAAAACACTACAACAAAAGTCCTATGCCTTAAACTGTCTGAATATACAGCTACTTCCTAGGAGCTTTGCTTCTCTCAAGGAATACCACAATGTTTTGCTTGCCTGCCTTTCATGTAGCAATCATCATTACAGCAAAAATCTTATTCTCAATTGATTCTTGCAACATCTTTATGAGGTATGTATCACTCACCCCATTTTACTTGTGAGAAAACTGAAATGTATAGAGGTTAAGTAACCTGCTTGATGTCACAAAATTAATGAAAGTTCTAGGGATTTGAACCTAGGTGTGCCTGACTCCAAAGACAATCATGGTCATGGCTAGGCTATAATGCCTCTGATTTCTTACATTATTAAAGCAGTGGCTTGTGGCAAGAGGACGAGACAGGTCAGGGTGATTCTTCCTTCCTAGTAACTCTCACAGCTATTTCTTCTTTTCCAGCTCTACTGACACCACCTTTACTTCTGTCAACTGTATTAGCCTCACATCTGGCCTCCTGCCTTCCAAGTTCCACCCTGCTAGTCCATTCAGCATTCCACCACAAAGCTGGAATGGTCCAAAACACAATTTTGATCATGTCCTTCTGTTTGTTTCCTTTCCCTGTATCCCAAAGGTCTGTGGAATGAAGTCTGAACTCCTCAGCAGGGCACTGGAAACCATCACCATCCATCCCAACATACCTTCCCACTCTGCCTTCTGTTGAGCCTTCATGCCAAAGTGGTCTATCTACTTCCTGTCTCAGAAACTCACCTGACTCTGCTGTTTCCACTCAGCTTACCCCCCAGCCCCTCTCTGTAAGTGTTCTCTCTGCTCTCTTTGTCTAGATCATCCCTATCATTTTCAAGCCCTGTCCAAATCTCATCTCCTGTATCAGCTCGGCTAGGAGTGAGTCTTCCTTATCTCAATTATTACAGCACATTTTATTGGCACTTTGGATTAGGAATTTGCTCCCTGCCTGGCACTTTTTGTTATCATGTGGTCAGATCTTCATATATAAATGCATTATTTTTCCTAAGAGAATACAGTCTCTTTTAGCCAGATACTGTCTTTTGTTTCTTAGAATTCCCCTCTGAGGGTAGTAGACTGTGTCCTGAATATAAAAGATACATGATGAGATTTTTGAACTGTGAAGCAAGCCAAATCCCACACCCTGTTTTCTATAGCTTTTTTCCCTCGGGCATTCTTCAAAAAGGACCTGTGATATTAGAAGCTGCACTGAGACAAAACTTCATTAAGAATATTATTAAAATATTAGACTATGATATTGGCCTTAGGGTTCCCCTCCTAAAAGCGTCTGCATTTTAATGTAAGTCTTTGAAGCCTTAACTAAAAATAATAATTAAGGTTTATATAAGGTTAGGTACCATGGAAGGGCCACTTGGGGAAGAGGTAGAGCTTTACAGCAGTCTTAAAAATCACACCACAAAAGCAGCTGGACACCTCATCTGCCTTCTATATTCAGCCATAAAGTGCTTCCAAGCACATGCAGTAACTTTAAAAAGTTTTGAACCTAAGCCAGCCATTCTCTCTAAAACAGTTAAAAAATAATCACAGATTATCTTATACCTTCTTCAGAGGTATTGTTCAGCTTAAATATTAAGTTTGTAAAACCAGAAATAAATTTTGCAAGTGATGTTTTTCCCATTTTTGTTGTTGTTGTTGTTATTTCACTCTCTTCCTTTAGATTCTATTAAAATGCAGACACTTTTAGGACTATGAGCTCCTCAGGGACTCATGCTGTGTCTCATCCCCAGTGCCCAGCACTGTGCTGGCATGTGTAGGCACTCAATGAAGCTTGAACAAACAAACAAACAAACAAAATGAAGAAATGGCTCAGGGATGGAGTGAGGAAAGCAAGTTAGAAAATATGCTATGCCGGGCCGGCCTGTGGCTCACTCGGGAGAGTGCGGTGCTGATAACACCAAGGCCCCGGGTTCGGATCCCATATAGGGATGGCCGGTTTGCTCACTGGGAGAGCGTGGTGCTGACAACACCAAGTCAAGGGTTAAGATCCCCTTACCGGGCATCTTTAAAAAAAAAAAAGAAAGAAAAGAAAATATGCTATGCCGGGCCGGCCTGTGGCTCACTCGGGAGAGTGCGGTGCTGATAACACCAAGGCCCCGGGTTCGGATCCCATATAGGGATGGCCGGTTTGCTCACTGGGAGAGCGTGGTGCTGACAACACCAAGTCAAGGGTTAAGATCCCCTTACCGGTCATCTTTAAAAAAAAAAAAAAGAAAGAAAAGAAAATATGCTATGCCAAGCCCTT